TGGATGGTAGAGAACTTCCCAAACCAACTCCATAATCTTGTGTTGCATCAAACGTACCACATGTGGATGTGCATTGTCCCAACCGAATGCAAAGCATCATTTTCTGCGGATGGTGTTCAGGTTTTTGGGCCTGAAGTGGTTTTTGTTTAAGACTGAGCCATTGTTTTTGGCGTTTAATATTTGCACAGAGAATCCATTTTTCATCACCAGTGACAGTTCTGTCCAAAAAGTGGTTCACACGCATTATGGGCCAGAAAAGACGAAGCAACCTCACACGTTGGAAATGATGATCATTGGAGAGTTCGTGAGGCACCCAAACACCTTCATTATGGAGTTTTCCTATATTCCGTAGATGTTTACGCATTGTTTTCCTGAGAAACATACAATTTCAGGGCCATTTCATGAGTGTGTCGCCTTGAGTTAGACTCAACAAGCGTCTTCAGAGCATCAATATTAATTCCAACATGTCGGCCCCTGCCATCACAGTTTCTAAGGCTAAAGTCACCTGAACGAAATTTGCTGAACCATCGCTGACACTTATGAACATTCAATACATTTCCATAAACTTCTTTGATATTCTTTGTGCCTACAGAGGCATTGTTTTCCTTCCTGTATTCAAACAGCATTACATGCCAAATGCGTGTCTCATTGTGTGCCATCACTATAAGGGATTAGAGTGTACTAAACTTTACATGTTAAATAGGCTACACTAATGTGACATTTAGCCACTTCTTTTAACTATTATACGTGATGTAAGTTTTTTTTGGGGTGGTAAATGAAAGTGTTCCAAAACGCGACATTAATTTATTGATGACCTAATATTTGAGGGCTGATGAGAGGTATGGCCCTTACAACCTCTAAGAACCTAAATGGTAATCCTAACAATTTTTCTTGTTATTTGGTTATTCTCTTGGATGTGCTGTGTTAGTTATATAAGTGATAGTTTATATAGATTATCAGTGAATATTGTCGGGACTTTTGTCTAATGATATCAACAATTTTAAAATGTAGGTATAAAGTGTTGATTTAGTATATGTGTGGAGGTTACAATAAATATACAATATACAAACTATACAACTTTATTCACTATTTTGTTGTTATTTTACTCATGAAGGCAAGGTAGCAATAAACTTCAAAATTGTTCAAACAATTTTTTACATATTGAAAAGTTTGAGACCTCAAGATTTCTGTTCATTTATTGCTTTGCTACTACACCTTTTTAATTTTAACCAAACTGTAGAATTGATAATATAACAATTATTCTTCCAAATTTTGCAATGTAAGAAGGAATATTAAATGTACAAACTTATTTTAGTAGTATAAATAAATTTTTTAAGCCCATTATTTTTTACTCAACCCTTTAAACTATAAATTAGTTCTGTGTTTTTTTATTTTTCACCCAATACACACTGCAATGCAACATCAGTTTTGTGGGTTTTTTTTGGTTTATTAACTTTTATCCAAGTACTGTTAAAACCCATGTATTTGAGAATGATTGCACCAGTGGTCGAAATATTATAAAATATTCTTCTTTACTGTAAAAGCTGTAACTTGTAATAAAATAAAATTATTTTTTAAAAGGAATTGTTAAAGATTAACTTAATGTGAGACTGTAGAGGCTTGTATAAATTAAAATAAGTAAAAACAATTTTAAAACTTTCAAAGGTGCCTCAGTCAAAATAGTAACATAAGGTTAGATATTATAAATACTTTGTAAAATCTGTCAAATATCCATCACTTTTAGGTATTCACTATTGACCTTTTGTTCCTGATGTATGCACATACTTTAGTAAGTGAAATCCTTATAAAACATTTTCCTATAGTACTTGTGGATTTTTATCTTCCAGCAAAAGTGCATTGTTTTTTGTTTTTAGTTATGTATAGAATATTGCCCTTGATTGAGAAAATTTCAGTTTTTCACCTTGCTTTTCAGCTAAGAATAATTTTTGATGAAGAGAGTGGAGCATAAACCTTAAGGAGTTTCAGAGGTGATTTGACCCTCAATACATGCATGAAGAATGACCAGAGTGGCTGAAAATCTCATACTTTGTGTATTTGTTTGATTTATGAGCTCCAGCTAAAGCTGCCCCATAATTGGAGAAAGAAGTGTTTTACACCAGTTTTGAATAGGAGGATGTAGAAGACCAGGCTGCTGTGAAAGATGACTGTTGATAAGTATGTAAAAAAAAAGTTCTGAATATGCTCTGAATTGGAAGATTTCATTTGTTTATCAGTAATATTGTGATCACATAAGCTTAAGAAATTCATATAAATGCTTTATGATATTTTAACAGTTTTTTATGGTACAATAACACACTGCTAGTTTCCATATTTATCCACTCAACAATAAACAGTTTGTCTTCAGATGATTGCTTTGATGTATTTTTCACCTTTAACAAATTTATAATTAGTGTGAAAATTCTGTACTGGCAAGAGATTTGTTTTGTAGTTGTTGATATAATTTTTATAAGGTTGACTACTACACAGCTACCTTGACTTGAGTTCTATTTGCATATAGTTCTAGTTAAGAGAATTATTACTAGCAGGAGTCACTAGTGTTACATGCTTGTAGTCACTAATGGATAATGCTGTTTGTCTCTTTCCGGACTATGGGGGTGTGATATCCCATGAATTTTTCCTTCTCACAGTGGAAATAACTAACCAACTTGTATGGAACTCCGAACACTTACTAATATTATTGACTTTCAGCTTTAAAAAGTTCTATACTTTGATTTTGTGTAGTTTCAAAAATTTTGTTATGAAACATTTTTCTGAAAAAAGCTTTAAAATATTTCCATTTGTCTCAGGATTTCAGTTTTTTATTGTTTATCAGAAAGTTCCATTTCATATATCCACCCAATTTCATCATGATTGATCTTCATTAATCATATTTCTTTTGAAATCTTTTTTTCCACTTGCAGAAGTCACCACTTCTAGCTATAAATCATAAAAAAATATGCATAAACTGACAAAGATTTATTGGTGACCTAAGAGCTCACCCTTCAGAATATTATCAGGTCAGGCTAGGTGACAGTATTTTTGCTAATGATATTGTTGGTCAAATTCAATTTATTTCTAATAAGTTTACTTTGTTTTCCTTAGATTATAAGTTTTTTTATTTAGGCGCATTATTTGAATACAATAAACTTAACATTAATATTCAATAAATAAGGATTTGAGTCATTGGAATAATATGCTGTTGCTACCATTTTCTCTAAACCTAATAGTTTACTTAATGGCTTGACATGGAAGAAAATTTCCATAGCTTTCAAACAAATATAATTTAATACAAAAACATTTTCAGGAAGAAAAAGAATGTCTGAAGAAACCATAAAAAAAAAGTCCCAGATCTGTAGTTTCTTCCTAAGTCTAAACTTCCAACTAAATTCTGTTCTTGTTCTCTTTAAGAGCTACATATAATCACTTTCCAGTGAAACCATAAATTAATTCTTACATAAATTACTTATATTGATATAAATAGTTTATAATCTGCTATATCCAATGGTATATAAATTTTGATTCTAGTTATTTTCAAAGCTGTTTCTCAATACCTTTTATGACCTTGTATCATGTGATCTGAAAAGAAGCCTGTAATAATAAATCTATAAAGAGAAGGAAAATCACAAGGGAAACAAGACATGGATAATGACATTTTCAAATCGAGGTAGTTTTTAGCAAATATAAAACTGAACTTCAGGATGAAAAACAAATTCTGAAAAAATTGATGGTTGTTAGTTAAAAACAAATTATTTAAAAATGGAGCTGTGAAGAAATGTAAATTTGAAGATTAGTTACATTTTTCTTTACAAATCACAATAAATAAATGTTAAAAAAGACAAAATATCAATTCTAAAATGTTTTCAGTAAAAAAGTTGTTGAAATAGAGCTATAATTATTTTATTTAAATTTTGAAATTTGATATCCAGGTGTGCATTTGACAATTGAAAGATGCTTACTGGTCCGGAAATGGTTAAAATCAATTTAAATCATTACTCACTACAAAAACTTGCTGTCATTGTGTACAGTCTCTCTCTCTTTCACATACACAAATACACAGAAAGAGAGAGAAAAACATTCATACATATAAATTCTTAAATTACTTCTAAACAAAAAATGAAGACAATAGATTATTTAAGAAGTCAATATTTTATTAGAATATGCAATACTTCATTCAAATCTAATTTGTTAAAATCCCATTTGCAGTAAGTTCAATTAAATACAAAGTTATATGATTTTTATGATCTTAAGTAAACTGAACTTCCTGCTCATTATGTTGCACTAGTTATGAATAATGTGTCAAGTAACAAATTAATATGATTGGTTTGTGTATTGAAACAGAAAAAAAAAACATTTAAAGAAAGAAATTAATCTCATAGCTTTTACTTCATTACAATGTTGATCTCTTTTTTTTCCATGCATTTGCTTTAGGTCTTCATGATGGTTGTTTGGTTGAAATATTGATCACATGATCTGTTTTCTTTTTTACCACAAACTTGGTGATTTTTTATGTATTTTCTGGTTTTACCATTCTTTTGCTGCATATGTTTGTTAGTACAGCTTTCAGTAATTATTATCAGATGAAAGACCACTTGATGTGCTGATGTGGATTTTAAGCCCAAATACTCAAACTGAATAACTTTTTAGTCAGTTCAAACATTAAAACTTGTAGTGGTATTAAATTATTTATCCACAACTTTATTGAAGGTTCAGGAAATAAACCAGTTGTGTGTGTGTGGATAGCTTCATGCTGCTAGGTTTCAAGGGCTCGATGAAATCCATAAGCCCCTCATCAATGCTATGAATGCGAGGCATCAGTCTTAGTTGTATTTTAGGCATCCAAGTTAGAGAAAAGAAAAATCAAAAATCATCTTGAGAAATAAATTTTTCAATTCTCTTTTGATAACAACTCAGAAGACAAGCTGTATAAGAAATTTTGTCTTGTTTAAATTTTGTTTCTAAGAGTAAAAATTTCATTAACTTGAATGACACTTCATATATGGTTGTGTCCATCAAATAGTAAAAATGTGGTGGGAGTAATTCAATTTGTGGGTCTGTTTTGGTCCTTCAGCATTAGTTAAGGAAGCCATAAATACTCTGTTGCATTTTAGTATTCTGTATAATTCTGCACTTTATGCTTTGCTTGGATAATTTATGGAGTAATCTAAAAATATTATTCAAATTTTCAATTTTTCATGAAATCATCTAACTTAATAAATTCTGTTTAAAAGTCATTTGCAACTTACAGTGAAATGAAATATTTTTTAAACATATGCATTTAACTTGTTGAACCTTTTAAAGGCTGTTTCAAACATAATTTGTAACAAGTTTCTTATTTGCTCTACATAGTTTAATATTCAAAATGTAAAAACAATTACAATTTGAGGAGGTTAGAGTACACCAAATTTTGATGACACAAGGGTGACTTCAGATCAGCAATCACAAGAACATTACATAAGGTGTTCATATCACAATCCAGCACACCTTGTTTATTATTTTGAAAATCTTAGCTCTTAAAAAAAAACTAAGCCGTAAATTAGTTTAAAACATCATGATATTTAAGTCAAAATCATTTATTCATAATTTTTTAGCTCCACATGAAGTCTGGCACAAGGAACACTTGATAATGAAGAATAATATAGATGATATATTTTTAAAATATCACTTATAAATGAATCATTATCGAGAGCTTTGGAAAAAAAAATCTGACAATGTTTGTAAACTGAATAGAAACTTTACAGTTATTTATTTTTGCTTGTGGATCTTTTCCAGATAATTTCTGAGAAAGTGTGATGTTTGTGAGAAGAAAGGAGCCAAAAAAGTAAAGGTAACTGATTTACCTTGCTCATCCTTGTTAATGAAATTTCATATACTAGGAAAAACTTCATTGGTAAAGGCTAATGATATCAGTCTCTTGATTACTTTTGTGTAGTGGCTCATAATGAGATTTTTTAAAATGTTCCTTTACCAATACTAAGCTTGTTTTGGAGAGATATTTGTTCTATAGACCAATTTTACAAGAATTTGGTATGTTCTTTGTGGAAGTATACATACAATAAATTGATATACTTAAATCATTATTTACAGTCAGAACCTGTTTATAAAAACCACTCAAAATGGTCTTTATGGACAGGAAGTTTCATATAAAGGTTTGCCATCTCAACCACCTTCACATTATTGTGTGTTGATAATTTTTTCTTGAAAATGTTAAAACACCAAAACCTAGAAACATGGAAATAAACATCAAAATAATTGCTGTTCCTACTAAAAATGTATTGTTAATTATAAAACTAAGCCATTGAAGAAATCACTGATCTTGGTGTACTTGTTTTGTGATGCTGATGCAATTTGTAGAATGTTACTTTTCAGCTTCATTGTAAATTCAGACTACAGGTCAAATTCTTTAATCTTAGCTACATGTCCAAGAGCATCAGACAATGTTATTCACTGAACTAGTTTTGTGTCCATTTTGACACATGCATCATCATCATCACCGTTTTTCTGGTCTTTGTGTGGCACCTCCTAAGCATCTTTATTCCAATCTCTCATTTCCTCATTACAAATAGGAATAACTGTGACTGTGAGGGAGGTAAGTAATCACTGAAGTGATAGAATAAAGTGTAATTATCTATATAATTGTTGATGGCTATTCATAGGCGCCTTGTTTTTGATATAGGCAATTAATAAATATTCAATATTATAGTTGACTGTGCTTTTTTATTGACAGGAAGAATTTCTGTAGCACTCTGCAACATTTTTCAAATAATGTACTGTATGGGTTGTAATAAATGTTGTACATGAGGTAAACTTCAGGTGTGTAGTTAAAATGACTAATGTTAAACCATATATTTTATACCAAAATTCTTTACTAGTTTTAACACTTTGTGCTTCTTGGAAATTACATTCAATAAAGCTTTTTAATATTGAGTATCCAGGAGTTTATATGTACAGTGGACAACAATATTCTCAACTGAGGTTATGATTATAGGTTTTATGTGAAAATATTGTACTTGTTTTGTGACAAATTCTGATCAGAAGAATCAGATGCAATTTCCAACAAAACATTTCTAATCAATGGAATGAGTTGTACACTTGGTTTTAAATCTAATAGGCTGGAGGAAACTATATTAATTACTGTGGTGTAAGTTAGTGTTTCATAAGTAAACTTGTTTCATATACTGTATAGCATCATATCTACTAATTGTTATACAAGGTGGATGTTAAGTCTGTACAAATATTTTAGAATCCAAAGTTTAAAAAATATGTTTAAATAATTTCCACAGCTACATTTGTAGAAGCAGTGGTGTTCCTTTTAAGTTATGTCAGAAGTACTGCCAGTTTCTTTGAACTTACTCATCAATTTGTCCTAGTATAGAATTTAGCTGAGTCCCCCCTCCCCCCAAGATGAACAACATTAAAGGGTTATTGCATTGAAGCGACTCCCATTTTCTGCACCACATTTAAAGAGAATCATGGCAAGTCCTTTTGAAAGTGCTATGAGTCATAGCATTGTGATGTGATACAGTTAACAAATTTAACCTACTTTGCCCAAAATTTAAGGACATCATGTACTTTAGATAATCAGTTAAAAAAAAGTTATGTTTCATATTACATTACAATGTTAAAATAATGGCACAATAAATAATTTATTAAAAATAGGAACCAGCCCTAAAAAAAGATGTTTTGGTGTTCTTATGCCACCATCTTCAGATGTGAAAGTTGAAGTTTGATAAAGACTTGTATAACTACACAGTAATTTGCATACCTTTGGCACCATCTAAACTTAAATATTCAGAGTTTATAAGACATGTTTCCAGTACTTTCTTTCTTCTAAACCTGAACTAATCTCTTTTTTCAGCACAATCTTTGTTTTTTTTCAATTTCTATTGCTTCTCTGATATTTAATTCACACTTCAACTCTACTTGATTTATCAGTTTAACATTATTCCAGTCTATAATATGAGATGCTCTTGCCAAATGTTCTATTAAGGCTGACTCATTTATTTTAATATGTCTTTTAGACTCTAGGCTAGGATACAGCTATGAAAACTCTCTTCTCAAGAGACCAAGACTCAAGTTTTATGGTGCCAAATGTCAGGAAAAAGGAAAAATTTCAGTTGACAGGGATTGAAACAGTTACATTTTTTAATGTATTTGGAAGGTACATCTTTCTATATGTATTTCTTACTGAAATGTATGATAAATTAAAAAATGTTAAGGTAAGATGTATTATTTAATATTGTTGCGACATTGAGGTCATGTTACTAGTATCACGCCACGTCATTCTCGAACTTTCACGTCTTTTCCTTAAATCTCGTGATCTTTTTAGATATAGTGTAGTCTTGTATATATAAGACCGACCACGAAGCGACGGGGAGGTAATGAGTAATTGAACTGCAGTCAGAGAGAATATTGTTAAGCACGTGAGAAGTTCGTTGAGAATTATAGCGTTTGTTACAGAGCGACTGTTGAAATTAAGTGTATCGTAAAGCTGTATTTGGAAAGAATAAACCAGTTTTATTTAAGAAAGGACTTGTGTCGCTAAAGTTTCGTCGGAACGAATTTACGGAAAATTAACTAACGAACGGAGACGTAACAAATTGGTGTCAGAAGTGGGATGAAAAAAAAATGGAAACGAGAAGCGGCAAATCAAACTACAGCTTACCAGACTTGATGGCAGCAATACAAGAGCAGCAAAAGAAACAAGAAGAACGAGAAAAGAAACAAG